AGGCCAGGTACCGCCCGAGTCTCTGGAGCCAGCTGCTCGATAACTTTCAGAGGCAGCATCTCATCTGAATTATAATTCCACACATTTTGGTGGGGCTCCTGCTGCGATCAACCTGTCAGGCAGTACCGGCCGAAACCTGGCCTGCCAGCCGAAGCTCATCACGAAGCTGCTGCAGAACATCCAGAGGCAGCATCTCATCTGAAGTATGAATCCATACTTTTGGCTGGGCTTCTGCTCCAATCAATGCCAGGTACCGCCCGAATCTCTGGAGCAAGCTGCTGGAGAAGTTTCAGAGGCATCTCATCTGAATTATAATTCCACACATCTTGGTGGGGCTCGTGCTGCGATCAACCTGCCAGGCATGGCCGGCCGAAGCAGCCGCTGATGGGGCTTTGCCACAGGTTCCAGGGGCTGCTTCTCTTCTTAAGATAATTCCAGACAACTTGTGCTTAGGCTGTTCCTCATGCCCTTGCGATCTCAGGCACCAGCAGATGCTGCCGAGGTGGCGGACGTGGCGGAGGCAGCTTCTCGTTTTAATTAAGTGTCATACCACACAACTTTGGCTCAGGCTGTTCCTGATGCTCTTGCGATCTGAGGCACCAAAGCGGTCGCGGTCGCCCCGAGGGCGGTCGCCCCGCCGGTGGTCGCCCGGCCGGTGGGAGCGGTGGTCCGTCCCGACCGGGTCACCTTTCGGTGACCCAGTCTTCCGGCAGCGGGATGAGGAGGACTCGTCCGTCTTCGGCGACAAGGACGAAGAGGTCGAGGATGAGGAGTCTTCCGTTTACGACGGCCACCACGACGATGCCTGAGGAGTCTCGTTTTCGTCCATCTCGGTGACGTCTCTGTGAAGGCTCGTGAAAAAAGGCGCACTGCGATCACAGCATTCGATAGACTTCGATAGTTTTTGCTAGTGTGTTGGTAGGGCTTAGGACTTCAGGGTTTCGCCTTTCATGGCGATTAGGTGTAATGGGTTGTATATACATCATAGGGTACTTGTAATGGGTTGTATGGTATGTTGAGGGCTTCGGGTTCACACTGCGATAGGCTTCGCTAGTTCTGTTTTCGCTTTGGCATTGGCAGCACATATTGGAAGCCCAGCATCTTGACTCTGGTGCTGAGGAGACGGTGGCGGCTGAGACTGCGGCAGCAGAGCCTGTGGTGGCGTCTCGACTCAACCCCAGCCCTTTTGTAAGTAGGCAAAAACCCTTTGCTGTTTCTCGTGCGCTCAGGAGGCCGCATGTGGTAGCTCCGCCTCTTGACTGATGAAGCCGTGCCTGCGAATGCGAGTGTGCTAGTCGACATTAAGCAATCCCCTTGGTGCCTTCGCCTTGAGGATATTCCAAGGGTGGATCCATATGGAGGCCGGCCAAGGCCAGTCTCTTGACTGAATCCCTCTAGCATGCAATCCTGCAACACAATGAGAGCTGACTTACCTCGACTGAGGTTGTAGCATACATTCCAGGAGGTTACGGTCCGCCTCGTTTGGGAACCTACGATGCTCCTTGACTCAAGGAATTTGGATGTCCACAAGTAACGATCGTTTTCTCCGTCCTCAGGATAGGTTCCTGGGCCCTCCTCCGCCTCCGGAGAAGGCGGGAGGGTTTTGTTCATGGTTGTAAAGTGATTGTGGCATCACACATCCTGCCCGTCGCTCCTCCGTGTGGCCAACCTCCCGGCTGGCTGGGAGTACTTCGAGACGGAGACCAGCCACTATTGGGCCCACAGCAACGGGCAAATCACCACTGCCACGATCCCCGACCCTTTGGCTTGGGCTTCTTACCTTAATTTGTTCCAAGACAACCGCATTTTTCCAGTTTCCGTCGCCTTGCTTCACTAAGGTTCGCGAGCCGCGGGACCTCGAAGCCCAATCCAGAGTCGGTGACGGCGATTGGAGAGTCTGGCGCAGCCCCGATTCGGCGTTCGAGCCATTCTGGTTCAATCAGAGGCTTCAGGTCCGTCGACCGTACTCCTCACTCGATTCTCGTTTGCAAGGTTTTGGTCTCATTGGGGCTCAGGATATCGGGCTCAGGGTTTCGGGCTCGGGGTTTCCGGCTTAGGCTTTCGGGCTTAAAGTTTGGGGCCTAGGGTTTCGGGCTTAGGGTTTCAACTGCTCCTCACATGCATTGCGGGTGATTTCTTTCTTCCAAGGAAGGCCAGCTGAAGCAGAAGGAGAAGGAGATGGCTGAGGAGCTAGAGAGGCTGGAGATCGTCCGTCAGCGCAAGGAGCAGCAGGAGGAGGAAAGACGGAGGAAGAGGCGGAGGTGAAAAAGAGTGCCGTCTGCCTTCGCCTGCCGCTACTGCTGTAGTTCATTCACGGGCACTACTTTCGAAAATGTCTTGCATCAGGACCTGCAGCTTCCTTTTGCCTGCCGGTCGTGTGCTGTCCTAAGCAGAGGGTTGAGGGGTTCGGATTTCGGCGGCTTCAGGGCACTTGAAGTGCAGGCTTGCAGTCTGTCTTGTATCTGTCGCAGCAGCTCTTGTGCAAACATGCCAGAACCAACTTTTCAATAAATCCGAAGGTCCGTCCTTCGGCTGCTGCGACCGCGGCTACCGACTTGACAAGGTGCCTGGAATCGTCTCTTGCAGTGCTGTGTTTCTGTAAGTGGCATGTCATTCCTGCAGTGCATTGGGCCCAAGATTCTTGATTGTCTAGGGCGGTTCGGAATGACAATTCCGAACCTGCAACTCGGTCTAGATCTGGCCAGCAGCCGATAATCTAGCACGTCACCCAAGACATCTGGCCAACAGACGACAATCTAGCATGTCATCCATGCCGGCAGTTATCCGGGCAACAGCGACCAATCTAGCGTGTCAGCCATGGTTAACAAGGTGCCCACTGTGAAGGCACCACCGGCTTGCCTCCTGCAACAAATTGCCGAAGAGTCTTCTGACGAAGAATCGCCTCGTGAAACCCAGAGGACCAGCAGACGTGTTGCAGAGGCGTCCTAATCCTCGTTATGTTCCTCTCTGGAATTCGCCTGTTCAGGACTGCTCCGGCACCGAGTTCGTCGGCTTATGCAGCACCGTCTACACCTCCGGCGAGTTCGTCAGTTCCAGGACCGTGTGCAGCTCCAAAGAGTTCGTCAGCTCCAGCACCGTGTGCAGGTCCACAGAGTTTGTCAGCTCCAGCACCGTCTGCAGCTCCGGCGACTTCCTCAACTCCGGCACCATCACTTCCAGCGAGTTCGTCAGGTCCACCACCATCAGCTCCAGCGAGTTCGTCAGCTACAGCACCAAAAGCTCCGGCGAGTTCCTCAGCAGCTCCATCCTCGGGTCCGTCGCCTATTGAACCCCAAATCCCCCGAGGACCATTCTCATTCTTGTCAGCCGCAGGGGGCTGATTGCATCTGGTTCTCATTCAGGACTTGCCTGGTCGGAGAGCAGGCTGATGCTTGGAGGCGTCGCAGCTGAGAGGGTGCATCTAAATTGCATTTGGTTCTCTTGCAACCTGCACTCGCAAGACAGTTCATTTGGTTTCCCTGAAATGATTCTGAGGTATCGCCAGGAGCTCATGGATGCCGAGAGGGCTGCTGCTAGGCAATATTGATACCGAGTGTTCTTCATAAGCCGGCACATCCTGGCATTGTCAAAGTGTTCTTCATAAGCCGGCACATTTTGGCATTGTCAATCAGGTCGTGGCGAAGATGCGAGCCGAACACCCAGAGATACACTGGTGTTTGATGCGCAACAAAATGGACATCGAATGTTACGTAGATGCTTGGCTCTTCCTTGATCTTATGTTCTGCTGGCATGGTTTGCATATTTGTCAATGTGCTTGCCAAGTTTTTGAACAAACCAAGGACATGCTTGCATTGTGCGAGCACTCGTCAGACGGCAAGGCCTGTGCGAAGTCGTTCGTCTACAAGCTCGTCCGTCAACAGATGACAGAGTCGCGAGAGCCCGTCCATGAGAGATCGCCACTTGCCTGAGATTCTTCCTTGATCTTCCCTTCTGTTTTTTTTATCATACTTGTCGTTGCAAGGAAAAAATGGGTGCACCCGGACAAAACCCTCACGAGCAATATCAGGGAAAAGATCGAAGCGATCCAAGAGCGTGTGCTCAAATGGTGGGAACCCATGGCTGCACGGTTTAGGGTTTTTAGGGTTTAAGGGTTTAGGGTGCGGGGTTTAGGATTTAGGGCCCTGCTGCACTCAGGACACCAAGAGCCAGAAGTGGACCACCTGATCGTCATCTGGCAACTTTGCCAGCGAAGAGTTCCGCCCTTTTTTTCCTTCTGACAGAGCATGGTCAGCCCAGGCAAACAAGCAAGTCCGTCTTCCGATCGTCTTCTTCCGCTCGTCTTCTGCTCTTCATCCGTCCGATGTGCAGTGAAAAAGATAAAGTGTGTGTGCCACGGGGTGTGCAGTCTGTGGCAGCTTACTTGCATTGCCAGAGTTGCTGCACCTTTGAGTGCTGCGAGTTCTGACTTTGGCATGCAGGTGCCAAAGCACACTGCTGTGCTGCCGTGGTTGCCTGGGCAGCAGCAGGTCCACTTTCCGAAAAGGGTTCGGCTTGCAGGGTGCGAGCTGATTCCATTTGAGCCTTTCCTGACCCTTCAAACCCCAGCTTCCAAGTCCCATGCATTGCCAGGTTGGTCGTCTCTGAAGCCAAGACGAGGCAGGAAGGCGATTAAGCGCCCGAAGTGGCGATTAGTCGGGTTCCCCCGAACAAGGGGAAGATTTCCTTGCGTGGTCTGCCATTGGTGTTTGGGCTTCAAAAATGTCACAGCAGAGACCCCCATCTTCCATGCCCGCCTGTTCCCAGAATAGAATCCAGCAAGCTTAGTAGGGTGTCATGCTGCCAGGTACGTGCCAAGGAACCAGGGTGGCAGCAGGGTTTTCGCACAGCTTCTCATGCTGCTTGCATATTCGACGATCAAGGTGCGTGTTTCGCAGAGTGCACAGATCAGAAGCCCACTTTCACTGAGAGAGCATCTCCCAACTTAGGGTGTCCGATTCGGATTGTCTTGCGACACTTGCTCGGCGGTTCCCTTGCCGACCATGGCTCCGCTTTTGGCAAAGGATGTCTGGACCGCGGAGGTCTGGGATGTGCTCCGGCCGGAGTACGATGATTTGAAGGCGGACGGGGCACTGCCTGCATCCACCGGGTCCATCTTTCGCTCTGACACTTCCTACTCCAATAGGCAGCCTTTAATCTTTGTGCGGGCTCTCGCAACCCTCACCTGATCCCAAAGCCTGACCTACAGTTGCAGAGTGATACTCCAGAAATAAGGACAGTGTCCTGGACCGGCTCCAAAAATCCGACGAAGCCCGCGGCTACCACATGAACTTGACCTGGCTAGACTTCAAGGTTCCAGACGATTTGACAATAGCCCAAGTGGACAAGTTCCTTGACCTTGTCAATGTTAAAGAATTCTCTCATACTTTTTGCAGTTGGACTTGCTGGCATTTGTGCTTCCTTGCTAAGGTTTGCGGAGGAGGTCTTCGGCAAGGTTCCGGAGACATGGCCGTTGCATCTGAATGTGCCGGTGGCATGCTTCTCCAAGACGGACATGGCCCCGAAGCATACCTGGCAACCCTTCGCTTTGCACTTGTGTCTGGCAGCCTTCTGGAGAAGCTTCGCCAAGGCGAAGCTGCACACACCACAGTTGGTGCCGAAGTTCATTCGGCTTGCCCGTTCCGCGACTTCAAGTACTTCAGCGACAACAGTGCAACCGCACTGCTGTGTGCCGAGGCTTCTGTGGGAGAGACTTTCGAAATGCTGGCCGAATACTTCGGCAACAACACCCTCAAGCTTCTCAAGCTCGTCCGTCAGGTGCAACGGACGTTGCCTAAGACACAGAAGGAGGCAAGCGACATCTGTGCCTTTCTCCAAAAAAACGTGCATTGGCATTTGAGTCGCAGATCGCCGCAACCGGAGACAATCAACAACTTGCTCACGATCTCCAACTTGACCGACAAAGCCCCGCAAGCCAGGTGGATCATGGAGGAGGCCTTGTACACTGGCTGACTTGGCTCAACCCCAAAGCCTTCAACCCTAAAGCATTTGTTCCAAAATGTCGAGTGTAGACAGAGATTTTGCATTAAACCTTTTCTGCCTGCCAAGGGCAGAATTTGGGAAGATGAACACCTTCGAGCACACCAGCAAGCTCTTGGCGATTGCCCAGAAGACTGCGAATGGTGCTGAGTTTGGCTTTGTCATGGCAGGCGTCTACAGCGAGATGCTGAGGTCGGACACGGCCGATGTGGGAACGAAATCGGATTTCACGGCAAAAGCAGGCCACATTCAGGTGTGGCTGTTTCTGCGCAAGTTGCTCGTCTACATGAAGAAAAGATTGCTCTACCGTGCAGCCTCCGATGAGGAGGCCGCCCTCATGCAGAGGGCCTGGGAGCTCGCGGATGACCCGGTTGCCTTGTGCATACCGACAAAGCAGTGTGATGTGAGCTGGAGGAGTGGTTTGCCGGATTTCATGATGAGAGCTATGAACTTCCTGCAAGGGTGTATGGTTGGAAAGCACAATGAAACTTTGAAGGGCTCCTTGGGTGGGTCAATCGGCCCACTGCAGGTGGAATCTTTTCTGGAGGCAGGCTCTGTGGAAGCCGTCTGGACTGAGATTGAGAGCAGCCTCGCGAAGGCCAATGGGGAGCCAGAAGAGCGAACTCCCGCGACCGAGCAGGAGAAGAGCAAGGCGGAGCAGGCAAAGCAGAAGCTGAAGGACAAACAGGATAGCCTCAAGGTTCTTCAGGCGGACGCCCTGGAGGAGGCGGAGCGTCTCCACGACCAAAGGTCCGTCCTGCTGGTTCCCGACACAGCGAACCCCGTCTCCGCATTGCTCGACGGCCAGACGTTGGTGAAGCTCGGAAACCGAATCTAGGTTCCTGAGCGGCACCCTTTCTTTTTTTAGTTTAGGGTTCCCTTACTAAGACGAAACAGCAGGAAAAAGGGTAGCCTTATTATACATGGGCTACTCAGAAACCAAGGAATGCTGGGCTTCTTCGACTGTAAAAATCACGGGCTGGCCCGTGTCTATGCTGGACAGAACAGCTACCAGAGGGTACCTTGCTTGATTGAAACAGCATGAGCGTCAAGTTGTTCCACTTGTTGAAGCCGAATCGACGACTTCGAGCAGTTTCTGGGGACCTGGCTCCGGGTCCACACCAAAAGTCAGGACTTCCTGTTTGTGCTCACTGGCAAGGTCAGAAGCAACGAGGCAGGGCCCAGTGCCAGGTCCTCTGAAAACAGGAGTCAATACTAGAGGGACAGCTTACTCTGATGCTAGTCTGATACGAACCGGACCCTTCAAGCTGGCCAGGCGATGATCGAGAAACTGCTCGTCAAGAACAAGGTCAATTTCAAACGACTCATTCTATGCTACGACGAGTCTCAGATGAGAGCCGCCGGGTACTACACCCGCCTTCGCGGCTTCTGCAACTCTGCATCCAGCGAAGTGGCGTTCGTCGGGTGGAGTGGGAAGCTGCCCAAGCTCAGTCAGCGAAGCCGTGTCTATGTCGATCCGGGCACCGATGTGTATTCGGACGTGCTGCTTAGTTCTGCAATACCCAACCTTTAAACTTTTTGGGCTCTTATACTTTAAAGGGCATGCCAAAGTTTATCCTTTGATTTCCTGGCTTATTATTGTTGCCAAAGTAAGGTTGCAGCGTGTGCCCGTCAGCGACAAGGCAGACTTGAACACATGCTCCGCGAAGGACCGCGAAGAGCTCCTCAAGGTTTGTGGAGTTGCTGCCGCAGACAATGGAGACGAAGAGGAAGCGGACCAAGAGGACGGGGAGGACGATGGCCCCGTGAAGCGCAAGTATGCCAAGCGCTTTTCGGGCAAAGCACTGTTTCGTGCCCCCAGCTGCCCGGATGATGTGGTGATGTTCCCCTTGGACCCATCGATCGCCCTCTACCAGGAAATCTTCAATCAGCTTGGCCCTAGCTGGCCCTAGCTGGGTGCTTCTCGGGACGCCAGGCGGCGGCAATGGGGTCTTGGCTGCCTTGAAATCCGGGCTTCCGTCCGTCAGCATCTACAGGTCCAAGCTCCATGCCTCCCTTGCCCGTCAATTCATCCTGCGGAAGCTCGCTGAGCTGATGTGCGTGCCGGGCTCGCTGGCCAACACACACCTGGTGCTCAGGGCTCAGGCTTGCTGCTGCTGCTGTGGACCCATAGCAGCGCCGTCACATGACAGCACCGGGTCAACTCGCACGTCGATCTTGCATGCAGGGCTTTTAACATTTAGGCTACACATGTTGTTGCACTAACACTTGCAAAAAGACTACACCGGCTGTACGCGTAGTGGTGACATGACTGATCACATACGTAAATGTACACACGTGACTTGGAGAACTGTTGAGTAGGGTTCGGAGCCCGGTTCTGGAGAAAAAGAAAAAGCGTAGGAGCGACTAAGCTCGGAGAACTGTTGATTCGCCGAATCGTACTGACAGAATCAGGAACACAGAGCGGAGGCCGTAGGGAGTAACATACCTAACGAACAGGTGTGTTGGGATTCGGCGAGTCATTTAAACTGCCCCCATGGGGCGGTGCGAGTGCTTAGTCTAGACTTCACTCTGCCGCCGCTGGCGGCGCAGCGGGCGGAGCGTTGTTCGGGGGACCAGGCAGGACGGGCGGCGGAGCGACTCGACGAGGTGAGCGATCACGGTCTTCATTGCCCTTCTTTCCCTTGCCTTTGCCTCGACCTGGAGCCTTGCCTTTACCCTTACCTTTGCCCTTAGCTTGACCCTTACCGGCGCCCCTGATATTGCGATCTAAGAAGATACGAAGAGGATTGTCCTGTACAGCACGCAACATTGGACCCGCTACTGTTGTGAGTAGGTACGATACAAGACTGCCCGGGTGACCGCTTCGCAGTCTCAGAAGATAGTCAGAGCCCCTCTGTCTAAACAGGCCGATCACTACCTGAGGCGTGAAGTAGTAGGAGAGCTGAAGCGCGGGTGGGGATTCCCCTACGATATGTTGCAGGATACCTTCAGTAGCGTCTCCCAAGCGGTCCGTTAACGTGCCACTCATTGTCTGCACGACTTAGGTCGCCGCTGGCCCCAAACGTGGCTGGCACCACTCTTCCCCGAGCGTATCCCGCAACGTCGTTTGGACGATGGGGATCGCAAGGCCGGTAAAGTCGCGGAGCTGGTTCGCTGTACGCAAGCGGTCATACTCCCCGTCTAGCGACGTGAAGTTGACGAGAACGACGCGAAACTGCTGTCCTACTTGGAATCCTGGTTGTTTTATAAGTGGTTAACATAGTTATGTTAGTTAGCTAAAAAGTTAGGTGGAGTTAGCTTATGTTATAGACATCAAAATTGTAGAAGTAACTTGTGTGTTTTGGCATTGAGGTTTAGGCTAGGGACTCTGATATGAGAAGACACTTCATGGAGCATAAACACTGGTATCGGAAATGAAATATATAAAACATGTAGCTTGTCAAACAAATTTAAAGCAAAAATACATGTCAATGGCCTGCATGGACAGGCTGTCGTGCATGGCCTATGGCTAAAAATGTCATGTGCATGTGGTACAGCCTTGTGGCGGATTGAGAAGCACTGTTTTTCAAAGCCTGTGGTACAGCTGGTACGGTAGCAGCACAGTGGCCTCCCTCTCTGTGGTCTTGCTGTACACCATTGGGTACAGCAAGGAGTCCATGGACACGAAGCCTTGCTCGTTGGTGATGGAGCACTTGGCGAACTGCTTTGTCTTCTGTGTCTCTGTTGGCCTCCAACGTTGGACGAGTGTGGCTTTGTCGCCTCCAAGCTCCAAATGGAAAAGCACTTGGCCCATGTCCCATCTTCCGTCTTCCTGGTGGAACACCACGACGTCGTTGGCATGGATGGCACCACCCCTTGCGAGCCTCGCGATAGAGGCAACCATGGCTTCAGTTGCTGAGCAATCCACAAACTGGTTGAGGAATTGCAGCTGGTGCTTGTTGGGCTTCTTTGGCTTCACCAACTGGCAGGAGTCTGGAAACAGCCCGGCCTGTGTCAAAGTGGTGATCTCGGTGGCGAGCACCTGGTTGAGCAAGTGGATCTCGAAGGCGGCTGTTTTCTGGAGCCTTGTGGCGAAAGCAGATATGGTTTTGTGCTTTCGTTCGCTCGTAAATGTCGATGGCAGGCACCCATGCCGTTGGAGAATATCAGGCAAGTGGAGCAGCCAGTGCCACTTCCGCATCAGTGGCACGTCGAAGTTGGCCTGTTGGAAGGTCTCGATGGATTCTTCCGCAGCCCTGAGAAGGCTGGCTCTGGTGGTGGCTCCATACATGACCCCTTGGTGAACCTGGTCGATCAAGCAGGCCTGGCTCAAGAAAGCTTGGCAAGCCTCTGGGCAGATTCCGCTTGACACAACAACAGAATGCAAAAAATGGCGAATGATTGGATAAAGCCCTAGGAGGTCCGAAGCTTGGCAACTGAACTTCTGGCTGCTCTTGTACTTGGCGACCTTGCTTGTGTCGAACAAACCAGCCAAGTGACCGGCCTTGGAAGCACCTGGAAAGTTCCACATCCTTATGTATGGGCCCATGGCCTCCCAAATGTTGTAGTGCTCGGAGATGGCTTGGAAGCTCTGGAACAGCACGACTGGGGCCGTTCCTTGCAGAATGCCGTGCATCCAGTCATGGCAGAACTGGCTGACTGGCTTCACTTGGTTCTTCGCCAACAAAGTCTGGTTCAGGAGCAAGGCCTGGGGATTCCAGGTCCAACCGGTGGCTTGTTGCCATTGCGAGAATTCTGCTTTGGTCCTGCACGTGGCTCGCCTTTCGTCTAATCTGCGGTAGGACTGGATGACGTCTTCATCAGTGGTCAAAACCAATTGGCTGTATTTGGTCGTGCGGTGGTCCATGATGTCGTCGTTGTCGCCTGTGGGTGGTCCTGAGTGGATGTTGGCGCATAATATGCAAAATTTGGTACCAGAATCACCTTTGGAAGACCAAATCTGCTTATGGGCACCGCCGTCTGCCAGACATATGGCCCACCGGAAATGGAGCCGGACATCGGAACCTGGGCCATGTGGGGATTTCAACACAAACCCTGCCAATGGTTCCACGTGGGCATTGGCGAAAATGGTTTCCAAGATCTTGGACATGATCTGGCAGATGCCGCCCTGGACATGGCTCACGAAGTTGGACCTTTCAAGAGAGATGGTCAGCCAGAGGTCCTCGTGGTGGAGGAATTGGTCCATCTCCCTGAAGCTGGCATAAATGGCCCAAAATTTACGTTGGGCAGGTCCTAAGACGTTTCCTGGTATCACCTCATCTGCATAAAGTATAAGTTGCCATGGCTTGGAGACGGATGATGGGTTGGCTCGGTGCTTCCTTTGGATCAGATCATGGAAGCTTCCACCCATCTGGAAAAGACTGGCCAGGTAAACCAAGAGGTTGGCAAAGTACATGGTGACTTTGGCACCATCATCGGTGGTGACCTCTGCTTCTTGGATCAAAGGACCCAGTAGCCCACCATGGCAGCTCTGTAGAAGCTCCTCCCTGGCTTTCCGCTGGTCATTGGAAGAGCTCTTCTCTGGGAGGCCTTGTTCCTTGGCGACTTCCACAAAAGCAGCCAGTGCACTTTGGGAGTGACCTGGCAAAGCAGCTTTGAAGGTCAGCAGCTGCTGCAGTTTGCTCTTCTTCTGTGGAGGTTCCATGGCCAAAAATGGCTGAGAGTGGGTTTGGGGGCAAGGGCAGTGGCAATGTGCTTTGCTTCACATGGGAATCAATGGTATGTGTGCTATATGGATGAAGGCTGCATCCCTGTCTATATAGGCTGTGGATGTCAGACTCACATGCATGGACCTCTTCGTGGGAGAAGTCTGGAACCTTCGTTGCTGAAGCGATGGCGGGCACAGTGCGTCAACAAAGACCTCGGAAGTGCATATATACACAGAAACAGCATGCTGCAGGATGGCCACGGCATGGCTTCAAAGAATCACTTTGTCCAAAGACATGCAGGCGGTCTTTTTGCTCGTGTCGGCACGGTGCACCCTGCCTGGGCTGTTGTGGCTTCTTGCTACCCTGCACCTGGGCCCCTTGGTGCTGCCCTGCAAGAAAACAAACTGCCTGGAACCATGCCTGGCACTACTTCTTGGGAGCCTTCTTCATGGCCTTGTTGGCTTTGTGGGCCTCGATGTACTCCCTCCAAGCTTGGCGGCCGTGGAGACGGGTGCCCCGAAAGTTTGGGTCCCAACAACTGGAGCATCCCTTAACATTACCACGACAGCGGATACATCCGTAGAGGATCTTTGTGCTGCCGCCTTTGGCGGCGGTGGCACCTTTGCCAGCCTCATGGCCGTTGCAGGTGGTGCCCTGGTTCGCCGAGCTTTGTCGGGTAGACATGGCTGCTGCTGGCCGCTTCATATGCTGTTTCTTGGGCTTCTGGTCGGCCTGGCCGTCCTCCTTGGCCTTCTTCTTCTTGTCGGCCTTGGCATCCAGCAGCTTCTGGAACTGCTCCTGCTCGTACTCCTGCAATGTCTTGGCGTCCTTGCAGGGTGAAATGCTGCAGAACAACCCCGAATAAGCAGTATGGAAGGAAACTAAACAAAAATATACACGTGTCCTGCTTGGCACTGTCTTCCTTGGCAGTCGTCTCCGTGGGAGCTGCTTCGACTCTGGTCGTGGCTTCAGGAGGCGGGCTTGCCGGAGGAAGTGGCAAAGCAGCGGCAGATGCTGTGCTCTGGCCAAAGACCTGGCCAGGGGCAGTTGTGCTGGCAGCACTCTGGCTGTGGGACTGGACCATGCTTCGCGGCGACAGCCAAGGCAACACTGCTGTTGCTGCGGCGGTGCACATGGGCCCTTGGCTTCCCTGCAGAGTGGCTGTGCCTTGTGTGGCTGCTTGGGCTTGGATGCCATGCCGCAGCTTCAGCATTTCCAGCTCCTGGTCGAAGTAAGGTGGAGCCCTGAGGTGTCGCTGGAGGCCGCTTGGACCTGCACCTGGTGCCGCCGGCCAATGAAGCATGGGTGCTTCGAAGAGGCACCTCGGGGACGAAGACGTAGAAATGTCTACATGCATGCAAGAAACAAATGCAACACGGAACAGATCCAAGTTATGCAACCAAGGGGCTTTCTTCAAAAATGGAGCCAGGCATGGGTCCTGCAGATCTGGCTGGTCGCCTGGACCATAGGCCTTGGAGAGCCAAAGCTGGCCCATCTCTGATGGATGGTCTGGATATCTGCTGGCGCCGGGGCAATTGCTGCTTGGCAGGGACTGGAAGATGATTCCGAAGTCCTGGACTGCCGAGTTGATGGCAGCTGCCGAAAGGCTTGGCTTGCCTTGCGAAGCTTGCACCATCAAGACAATGGCGACCGCTTGGCCCTTGGTGCATTCTTTTAAAGAATGCAGTCCCATGGCTCGGAGTCTTTTGGCTAAGAGCTCCAGCTGGTCCGTTTGGCTCGTGAGGGTGGACAAAGCGACCCAGTCTGGCCTGGTCAAGTATGGACACAGCCGCTGGACGGACTGGCCAGTGTTCACCAACTTGAGCTGGGAGCCGGTGTTCATGGACAAATTCTGGATGGTGTCCAGAATCTTTGCTTTCATGGCCTCTGGCAGTTTGGAAGCTTCGCCGGCCTTGGCAAGCATTTGGCAGATGCTCTCCGAGGACCAGGACTGGAATCCCTGGATCTTAGCCATGAAGGTGTTGGCCATGCTCTCGGTGACTGGTGAGTCTGGCAGCATCTCGGCCAGCTTCTGGAGATGAGCAATCTCCTCGAGGAAGTCTTGGCACCCGTACCGCTGCATGGCCCTGAGAAGCACTGGCTGCTCACACTGGCCTGGTCGGGTTGAATGGCCTAAAAGGCTGCAATGAAGAAAGCATGGGAAACAAACACAAAGGAATGCGACTTGAAATGAAGTTCAGAGAGAGATATATATATATATATAGTATAAATATGTGTTCATGGCCAGTTGGCTGCTTCGAAAAATAGGGTGCTGGCCACATGGCTCGCAAAGCATGGTATGGCCGATTGGCTTGCATGCAGATCATGGCAGAGCACTGAAAGCTTTCTTTTTGGCAGCGACCACTGTGGCAGCTGTGGTTTCACGTGGTTTGTCTGGAAGAAGCCAGGGTCGTCCTTGGTCCTGGCAGGAGCAAACTGCATGGGTCATCTTTGTGAATGGACACACTGGCCTTGTGGTCACTGGAGACTTCTGTAGCGATCTGGCATGGCCGTTGGACTGGTGGCCCCAGATCTCTCCATCTGGTCCAGTTGGTCCTGGACCCAGGCCCCGAACTTGGGCTCCCCCATGTACCTTGGGCCAAGTGGTTGGCAGGCTTTACCACTGAATGGCTTAAATGGCAACAAAAAAGATTGGGAGGTTTCCGGATCAAGCCTATGCTGCATGCTGTTATTGTTATTGTAGAATGAAAACTATGGAATCTATATCTGGTCGAGCTGCCACTGGATTTGTCTCTGGGCTCGTCCATGGTCGTCCCTGGTAATGGCTCTGGAAAGCCAAAGGCACTTCTGGCACCATGTTGGCGAACCACTGGCAGCCTCCAGTTGGGTTGCCCCGGTGGCGACTTGCTCGTTGGCCTCTTGGATGAAAACACTGGCCAGCTCTTGGGCCCTGGTCCATCTCTGGTTGTGGAGCAAGATGGCTAGCCAGCCAACCTTATGTTTCCAGCCCGTGCTCTTGGTCTTGCTGTGGCTGGTTCCTGAAATGCCTTGGCTCCACGGAACTGGCTCTGCTGGTGGTGTCTTGGGTTGTGGGATGGCCCACTTTGGTGTCAGCATGAGAGGTTTGGCTTTTGGTGCACTGGAGCTGGACCTGGCCTCTGATTGTGGCGGTGATCTTGGTGGGGTTTGGGCTCGTTGGAGCAGGTCGATCCCTCCCACTGGTGGGGTTGTTGGCGGCGGTGGTGTGGGTGGTGTCTTGGGTTGTGGGATTGGGGTTGGAGGGGTGCTGAAAGGGGTGGAAATGGTGGACTTGGCTGGGGGTGGTGTTATTGGAACCTCCTCATGCACTGTCTGTGGCCTTCGGGTGGGTGGGTATTTGAGCTTGGGTTTGGGTGGCATGAAGGTGCTGCCTGCTGGCGGTGTGATGGGTGTGGTGCCGTCTGGCGGCGGTGTGCCGGGTGTGGTGCCGTCTGGTGCCGGTGTGTTGGGTGTGGTGCTGCCTGGTGGCGGTGTCATGGCCGTGGTGCGGTGGAGTGTGTGGGAGGGGCTCTGCTGGTGTGCGGGTGGCGCTTTGGACGGCAGCTTGGGGCCCATGTCTGGGCCACTGACAGGGGCTTTGGGCTGGATGGTTTGGATGTATTGGGCGGTTGGTTGAAGCTGCTGTGGGGCAAAGGACACTGGGAGGCCACTGCTGGCGGGACACTGGACTGGTGGTTTGGGTGCTGTGGGTGCGGTGGCAGCATGGCAAGCGGGGATTGGCCATGTTGCGGGCGAAGTGGCGGGGGGGTGGAAGGGGATCCTTGGTAGGAGTGGATTGGTGGTGGGGAGAAGAGGCATGCACATGGGAGCTGGTGTTGGCCAGGTGCATGGTGCTATGGGTGCTGTGGATGCCATGGGCAGTGTGGCGGTGGCCTGAAAGGATGGCTGTGCCAGTGCTGGCACAAGTGGCCTGGGCGGAGCATAGCCAGTGCATGGGTTGGGGATTGGGCATGGGTTGGGGATTGGGACGTGGAAGGGCCATGGCATTGGGGGGACGGGTTGGGCCATGGGGGGTTTGAGTTTGGGCGGAGGTTGGGCTGTGGTCTGCTCGTCGAAAGGTGTGACGGGCTCCTGGCGGTGTGGGGCTGGCTTCGGTGGCAGCCTCCGGGGATGGGCTTCGCAGGGGGATCTGGACCGTTGGTTGCCCTGGTGGGCCTTCTTCTGGCAAGGTTGGGTCGGCCAGCTCCACTGTGGGCACCTCGGTGGGGTGGTCGCTGGGGCTCGTTGGCACCTCCGTCGGCGACGTGGCCATGGCTGGCACTCTGGATGACGACTGAGTTTATGTGGAAATATTTGATGATGTTTATATGGTGGCTGTTATGTATGTAAAATACCTAGATTCAGAATTTGAATCTAAATGCGGATATCTGGTAGTAAGATTCAGATTCTGAATCTTGGAAAATCTTAGATTCAAAATTTGAATCTAACTGCCAGAATCTGTGAATTAGATTCAGATTCTGATTCTACTGTATTTGTTACTTTGGCAGTATGGTGACATACAAAACTTCTGTCTGTGGCTTCCTACACTGGTTCGAGCACTCTGGGCTGCTCCGAAGAGCAAAGATTCTGGCAACAACTGTGGTCACATACCTACCTGGGCTGACAAAAGGGACGGTGTGGTATGGCCAATTGGCTCCCTACAATGGTGGTGCAAACAGTCTGGCATGGCCACATGGCTCCCTACAATGGCTTGGCTTGCTGCTACGAAGCTTGGGTGTTCTTGCAGAAAGTTGGCTGTTTCAGGAGTTGGATTTGGTGGCTTTTGCTTCAGGGCCTGGCATAGGAATGGCGCTTGGAGCTCTCGGGTTTCGCAGGTTTCGGCTTTGGGGTTCATGGGTACATCGTTCTGGGTTTATATGGGGTCTGGGGTTTGGGGTCTACTGAAGTGAACCGGCGCTATGGATCTCCACTTCTATTTCAGACCCTAAACCATGAAGCTTATAGACCCCTATCGGAATGGATGCTGGTCTCAAGCTTGGTGCCCCTGTTGCTGCTGCTGTGGCCGTGGCCAGCTGTCCTTCTTGGTCTTCCAGTGTGCAGCTGCTGCTTGCTCTGGTTGTGACTGCTCATGCTGCTGTTCTTCTTCTGCCTGTTTCTGTTGGTGCTGAGTATATGATACATGGCTTACAAAGATATCTTCATTACAATCAGAATCTAATATACAAACAAGTTACTCCAGACAAATCATTTCTATATATGTCTCTATATCTGTACAAAACATGTATGTGTCCTTCCATGGATGTTCACCCAAATGGTCTTCTGAACATATAGAAAAAAGCATACATCTGTGCAGATATAAATATATAACCGACAAAAAAATAACACATGTGATGGCCTTTGTGGCTTGGCATGTGACAACCTGCTGCTGGTATGGCCATGGAAGGCTTCTGGAGTTCAAGCACCCTTTTTTTGGCACGGCTTGGAGATGCTGCTGCTGGCCTGCATGGTGCAGGCTGGGTCCTTCAAAAAAACCAATGGCCTCCATACCTTTGCAGCCATGGCCGACCTGGGCCGTCTGGAGAAAGGCCCTGGTGGCATGGAAGAAAGTGGCCCATGGTGCCTGGTTGCTGGTGGTGGGTGGCCCCTCACCACCTGTAGACGAGGCCTGCTCCTCCCGCCAAGCTGGTGATCCATGGGGAATCACACTGGGTGCAGTTGGCATTGTGGTAGAGCTTCCACAGAAAGATAGTGGAGCGGTGGCATACCACACACCGCAGCATTACGTGTGGCCCGATGGGCTCCTCTGGTGGAACCATGGCACTGCTTGGGAGGGCCGTCACTGTCCCCTGTGGTGGAGGCTGGACGGGCTTGGAAGAGACGGCCGTGGAGTCCGTGGAGTCGTGCTTTGCTGCCGGCTTCTTGGCCCTGGGCTTGGTCCTGGTCGTGGCCTCCTTGGCAGCCGCTGGCTTTTTGACTCCTTTGACCATGGCGGCACTGGAGTGGAGGCTTTGGCTAGCTGTGGGCAGCTCGCTATATGGCCAAAAGAGGCTGCAGCGGAACGAAAAAGAGAGACGAACATGTGTGCCATGGCATGCCTGGCCACTTGGCTTTCAAACAACAAACTCAATGGCCTGGCATGGCCACAACGGCTCAGGCAATCGAAACTGGAGGCGTTTTTTTTGGCCGCTGGTGCACAGCTGCTGTGCTTGGGTTTCCGGCAGCCTTCGTGGTCTTCTTGGTCTTCTTGGTCTTGATGGCACCCTCAGCAATGCTGCCGTGGAGATACTTGGTGGCTTGGCAGCTGCTGTTGCTGCGAATGGTCTGTGTTTTGGCAAAAGCTGTGCTCCTGCAGCATGGACCTGCCTTGCATGGCTCTGCACACAGTCTGGTATGGCCATTTGGCTCCCTAGAATGGAAGTGCAAACAGTCTGGCATGGCCACTTGGCTCCCTGCAAAGGCTTGGCTTCACCCTACGAAGCTTGGGGGTTCTAGAAGAAAGTTGGCGGTTGGAGGACTTGGATGGTGTTGGCTTTGCTTCAGGGCCTGGCTTAGAAATGGCGCTTCGAGCTCTCGGGTTTGGGAGGTTATGCTTTGGGATGTATTCTTGTGGGTTTAGGGTCCAGGGTTTAGAGTCTCTTAAGGTCAAACTGCACTATGCATTTCCACTTCTATTTCCGACCCTAAACCCAAAATGCTGAGACGTGACGGCATGGCATGGTCCTATGTACACTTGGCTTTCGCACAACACAGCAACTTGCCTGGCATGGCCACAGTGGCTACATGTCCCTCGTATATAGAAACAGGACAAAGCTCTGGATTTTCTGCTCTGGGCCTGCAACTCTGGCTGCTGTGCAGCGAGTTCATGTGGCCTGCATTGACCTCACATATGCGGTCCGTCTTGAAGAGCCTGGGCCTGTGATGGCCATGTTTGGCTTTAGCAATCACGACAAATCCCTGGCATGGCCATGCAGGCTGGGATGTGCATGCACTCGTCGAACTTGGCATGAAGTATAACAAAGCAAGCATGACATGGCCCCTGAAGGCTCACTTGCTCCAGGAGAGTCCTGCTACATGTACTTTTCCTCGCAAACAAGCAGAGTGCATGGAAGTCTGCATCAACTGGTGCGGTACCTTCTATGGAAATCCTTGGGCAGAGCACATTGGCCCCCCCATGGCTCGTAGTTGGGGTCCGCCGACATCATCTCCCACTCCTCCCACCCACCACCGTACTCCCAGGGTTCTAGAGGCGGAAGATCTGGCTTCTCGGTCGTCTTGGAGTTGGCTGCTGGCTTCTTCTGGGCTTTCGCCTTGCACACAGGTGCTGGCTTCTTCTTGGCCTTCGCCTTCCTGCTCTGGGCAGCTGCCTTGTGGACCACCTTCATGGCTTTCATGGGGGCAGCAGGCTTCTTGAAGACCATGGCTTTGGGCATGGTGCAGGCGGAGGAAGCTCTTGGGAAGAAGTGGCTGGATCAAGCAGACAATTACAGACATGGTATAGCCATGGTGGCAGGCTAGAAAGCAGAATCGGTGCTGGGACAGCCACAGGAGGCTTGCTCAAGTCACCTGGATCCAAGAAGGTGCTTCTTTTTGCCGCAACAGCCTGGTCCCTGCAGCTCTGCAAAACTTGGAACCCTCAAAACTCCTGCAGCTCTGCATGGTGCAAGGATGGATCCCATGTGCATGGCCCATAGAGGCTGGGTCAGCCCTTCCTGGGCTTTTTCTTGGCTGAAGCCGACGTGGCTGCTTCCTCCTCGACCTTCTGCAAGATTTGCTCATTGGCTTGGATCTTCGCAGGGTTATGGAGGATGGGCACGGTGCATGGCCCCTGCTTGATCGTAGTCAAGACCATGTTGCCCTCATCCTCGCCCTCTGCTGTCCTGCACCAGAAAAATGGCACGATGGTGCCCTCTGCCTGGAACTGGAGGTCCTGCTTCCAGCTTCCAATGGCCCAGTCATGGCCGAAGGCCTGAATGGCCAGCTTGGGCGGCTTCTGGCCTGTCTTCACTTTGCTGATGGAACCCAATGGAACCAGCTTGAGCTTTTTGCTGGCAATGGCTTTCTTGGCATACAGTGCCTGGGGACTGGAAGCCATGCAAAGGAGTTCCAAGTCCTCGACCGACTGCTCCTGGTAGCATTGGTGGAGTGCCGTGACCACAGCTGCCTTTTGGAAGTCCTCCTGGGCCATGGCATGGCTGGATGGGAGTCCCCTGGTTATGATGTCGGCTGGGCCGATGGCTGGCATGGAGTGGCGGGAGACCCGCCACTTCCCCAGCCCCGCCAGCGGCACAAAAACTGTCTCCGGTGCCTGGAGCACTGGCCTGTGCTCCATGGTCCCACCCTCGTTGCTGATTTGCAGGAGCTGGTAGACCTTGGCTCCGTGCTCCTTTGGCAAGGTGTACCTTGGTTTGTGTATGGAATGTATCTACAGCAGAATCTTATGAGGGAACAGACATTAAAACAGCAAAACTCCTATGTGCAATCATGGGCACTGGTCGCCCACCTTGATGTGGGTGTTCTGGAGCAAGGTGGCTTCCCATGGCTGGGCAGAGACTGCATCCTTGATGGTCTTTGCCTCTGCAGCTGGGGTGGCCTGCTTGACCTTGGAAACGTCCTGGGTGAAAAGGTCGAGAATCTGGGCCAGGGACTCCAGCTTCTGCTGGGCATCAGGGCCAAGCTTTTCCTTTTTGGTCAGAAACAAGATGGCTCTGACGCAAAACTTGCCGAAACACTTGTAGAGATGGTTGCTGCCGGCATTGGTGCTGGTGCCTTCTGGAAGCTGGCTCTGGACCAGTTTCCAGGAATCCGAAAGCATGGACTCCGCCGTCCTGACGGACTCCATGTTCTGTGGCGACGACAGTCTCTGGACGTCGGCTCTGGTGAGGAGTCGTGCGAAGCCGTCTTGCTGTTTGGTGGATGTGCACTGGGTTGCCCATAGAGCTGTGCGGAGCAATGGGTAAAGGTTGCCAGGGTCTGGGAAGGTGGTGTGCGACAACGCCTCCATGAAATCCTGGCCCATCATGCACGTGGTGCCGTAGGTGGAGGAGAAGTGGGAAAGGAATTTCAGCAATGGAAAGCTTGTGCCTCCAGAATATCTCGAGACATAATGCCCTATGGCTGGGAGGCTCTGCCTGCAGGCAACTTCGCCGCTGGCAACGGACTGGATTGCCGACTCCAGACTGGCTCCCATTTGCACTTGAATGGCTATTTGGCAGGCTGCTTCCAACTCGCTGGTGGCTCTGCCAATGGCATTGCCAGAGTTGGCTCCGACTTGGAAGAACTGTGGAAGGCTTGGCATGGCTTCTTCCACACTGGAGGCCACCACATGCCACCGCCACCCGGTCTGGATGGCGGACCAGACTGGGTCTGTCTTGGGCACGGAGATGGCTTTGCCACTGGGATCCGTGGTCCCATGCTCCAGGCATCTCAAGAATGCCGTGGTGTGGCTGCTGGCAAGGGATAGGTATCCTCAGTGGCCAATGTATGTCTACAATATACATTTATCCGCAAATTGTAAATGGATTGGATATATAGAGAAAAGGAAACCAATTCTATGTGTCATCTGAGTGGCCCTCTGCTCCACTGACTGGGGCCAGGGAGCCCTTGCTCTCCTGGACCAGCTGCTGGTTCCTCCAAACCTGCTGCTGGCGCTTTTGGGGGTCCGTGGACATCTGGAGACAAATGGACCCTTGGAGCAGATGCACTTGCAGGCCAACTGCCAAGAGTTGGTGTCCCTTGGCCCAAACGTCAAAGTGGGACACCATCTGCCCTCCCCGGTTGGAGGGGTGGCAAAGAACTTGGCTTGGAACCAAGGTCTGCTGCTGGCAGAGGCCATGGTGCTCCAGCACCTGCAAGACCTTGGTGACTCTGGTGTTCACTGGCTCGCGGCCATTCACAATGGCCTCCACCTCTTGGACCACAGCTGGAGGGACAGCCATGGCTTCTGGCTTCTGTGCGGCTGTGGCCTTGTCTGGTATATCCTATCTGGAATTCAAGTGTGGCTGTGCCGGGCAACTTCTTTCTGCTCGTCTGGAACTGCTGGATTCTAACCACCTGCATATATATCTGTCGGGTTCAACAGTGGCATGGTTCTGCGACCATGGATATGCATGGATGGCCTATACTGGCTGCAGGCAGACGATAAAGCAAACAAAACTGTATGCATCCCTTCAACACTTGACACTTGCAAAACTGTTCTGCAGCAAGCCTTTTCCTGCGAAGGCCTGGCAGAGTCTGGAAGAGTCACTCCTGGACTGGTCGTGGCTACTACCTGGCTTTCTTCTTGTAGCTTCTTTTGGCCTGGCCGAGGACTTGGGCCGTATCCTCATCATTGCGAATGGTCTTGATGATGGTCTCGATCTGGTGCTGTTCGAGTTGGATGGTGAGATCGCACTTCCTTGGCCTCTTGCCACTCATCAAGCAGGTGACTTTGGAACCATTGATGTCCATGGTAACTTCTTCTTCTTGGTTGTCTGGAAGAGACCTCTTTCTGGTCGACTTCTTTCCTGAGCCTGGCTCTGGAGCATCGAAAAGTTGCTCTGCTGGTGTTGCTGGTTGGTCGAAGCTCTGGTTCCTCTTCTTGATGAGATTGGCCATGGCCGTAGAACCCGACAGACTGGCATTCTTGTCGGGTCTCTGGCCTGTGAGCAACTCAATTATGGGTTGGGAAGTGGGCCGAAGTTGGAGCCACTGCTTGTCCTTGGACAGCTTCACCAGATCCTTGGGGATGAGGATTGGCCTCTCCGACTCGTACTTTATCTGGATGGCCGCACGAATTTCCACCATGCTTGGAAGCTATGGTGGACGTGGAAAGCTGTAGCTGGCACTCGCTATGGCCGGGTGGCTGCAGCAAACATACCATGCAATACAAAGACATGAGCACACTGCTATGGCCGTCTGGCTCCCATGATCACACACATGCAATGCCAAATACAAAAAATCGAACAACAACTCTGATAAATTATTTGCTAAAAGCAAACAACATATATCTCTGGCAGTCCATACTATAATCTTCAAAATCAATGATAACATTCAGCAAAAACTTCGATTCCATTCTAAAACCCATGATTTCTTATCTTATACCTTCAGTGCACTCGACGAATTATGCACCACAAATCAGAATACATGTCATTGAAATATTACATCTCCATGTATGAATTTCGTATTCTTAAAGCCTATATTTCAACATCCATAACTCCATGTAACTCACCCTAACTTTTATAAAAGGTTAAGTTAATTATGTTACTTATCTAACAAAATATTAACTTTAGTAACATAACATAAAAGATATAAGTATTATAGGAACATGTAATCACTTAATAGACGGTTAACACTCACTTATAACAGTTTAATAACTAGGGTACAACTCCACATAACTATGTTAACCACTTATAAAACAACCAGGATTCCAAGTAGCAGGTCGAGGTCTCGACGCATGACATCAGCTGCTGTTGGCATGCTGCGTCTGTGGCCGGTCTCCGAACGTAAGCTGTGGTTCAGTTGAGGTCTCTGCTCCTGTGCTGTTTGGGCCGAGCGAAGAACAAGAAAAGCGGCGCGGCGATCCCATCAAGATCCCGTGCATGATCTAGGGGCAAGGCTGGGCAGGGCTAGGACGCGGAAAAACGATAAAACGAGGTGAAAAACGAGGGTGCTCCGTTTGAAGGGAAAAGAAAACTAAGTCGGACCGAGGGAGACGAGGCGAAAACGAAACGGGAGACGATGGAAGAAACCGAAAAGGAGGGGCATCACGAGTGGATGATCGAGAGACGGCGATGACGATGACCGATTTTAACCGCGCCAGAAGACGCACCAGAAGGCATCAGTGTTGTTATGTGGTGAGGGATTGGTGTGTGAAGTGTAACGTAACATGACATAGCGAGGAGCATCGTACAAGCGAGTTTCGACCGACTAGAGCACGAGGGACGAGAACACAGAAAAAACATGTGTGACATGTACTATGGCCCTTTGAGCGCCAGAGGACGCGGGCCCGAGTAGCGCCAGAGGACGCTGGTGCTTGCGCCAGAGGACGCTTGCACTCTGTGTGTGTGTATGTATCAGCGAGAAAGACGTAAGAAGACAGGCACGACACATACGGTGGCCCTTGTAGCGCCAGAGGACGCGGGCCCGACTAGCGCCAGAGGACGCTCGTGTTTGCGCCAGAGGACGCTTGCGCTCTGCGTGTGTGTGCGTTACGTTGAGACCTGGTGCTGGAGTCAATGCTCAATTTACGGTGGCGGTGTAATGTAACATGACGTAGCAAGGGACATCGTGAAAGAGAGTTTCGACTGGCGAAAACACGAGGAGCGAGAGCACAGAAAACATGTATGACACGTACGATGGCCCTTTAAGCGCCAGAGGACGCGGGCCCGAGTAGCGCCAGAGGACGCTGGTGCTTGTGCCAGAGGACGCTTGCACTCTGTGTGTGTGTGTGTGTGTGTGTGTGTGTGCGTGTTTCAGCGAGAAAAACGTGAGAAGACATGTACGACAAGTACGGTGGCCCTTGTAGCGCCAGAGGACGCGGGCCCGACTAGCGCCAGAGGACGCTCGTGCTTGCGCCAGAGGACGCTTGCACTCGTGTGTGTGTGTGTGCGTGACTTGGGGACCTGGTTTTGGAATCAAAGCTATATTTACGGTTGCGGATCCGCTGCTCTACGTTGTTTCAGCTCATGTCGGCGGCACGCTTCGATGGTGTGAAAAAGTCGGTTGCAGCAGTGGCAGGTACGCTGCGCTTCATCCCCGCCGCGGCATTTGTTCTCGTGGGATTGACACGCAGTTATTGTGTCCCATAGTTTGTTGCACTTACCGCAGGTACGATTGGCAGTCATGCTTCCACGGCAGTATTGTGTGTGACGTTCCTTTTTGTCTTGAAGTTTGCTGGGCGTGAGCATGCCTCTTGCAATTTGCCATCCGCACGGGCATTGCCAGAAAATGTTGCCTGGGAGTTCGCTGTGTGGTCGTTTGGAGCAGGAGCCCTCGTGATGGATTCGTTTGCTCATGATCAAAAATAATTTGTCGCAGTAACGGCATTTGAGGTTATCCAAGGCGTTCCCGGTGCACTTGTCCTCGTGTGCGTCGCGTGCCTTCCGATTCTTCAAGATTTCGCCGCATTTTCGACAAGGGTGCGAGTCGCCGATGACTTCCTCTGTGCCTTCGCAGTCCTTTTCGTGTGCTGCGCATTTGCGTGCGTCTCTGAAAATGCGGCCACATTTTCGGCACGTTTCTGCGTTTTCCTGAGTGATGGCCCGTTGATGTGGAGCCGCCCATCTGTGACTGTGTGTGCCCACCTGTCCCTGACTGCCTTTTTCCGCCAACTGATCCGCTAACTCGTTGCCTGCCTGTCCGGCATGTCCTTTAACCCATTGCCAGGTGATGACGCGGGATTGTTGGCATGTTTTGAGTAACGTCTGGCCGCGGCGAATCAGTTCAAGGTTGCTGTGTCCATCACTGATGCCCTGTACAGCGTCGGCGGCATACTGAGAGTCGAAGTGAATGCATACGGGGGTACGAGGGTCTCCCGGCGCTTCGGTGTTGAGCCAAATTAGGGTTTCGATGATTGCGGTGAGTTCAGCCGTGTTATTGGTGTGCTGGGTAGCCCCGATGAAACGTTGGTCACTGTGGTCAAGGACGACAGGACCGTAGATTTCGAAGAGCGCGTTTTGCGTTTCAGTATCAGCATCGCTGTATACGGCAAAACCCCAACCTGCACAGGTTGTCGGCGGCTTACCTCCAGACCCGTCTGTGTAGACGTGCCAGGTCGCTGGAAAAGGGCTGATTAAAGGGATGTGCAGCGGTTTCCAGCCTTTGCTGTTTACGTTTTCGGCGTGTGGGATGGCGAAAATTTTATTGCATTCGTGTTGCGACAGGGTCCATGCACTCGAGAAAGATTTCAAACATTCTTTGCATGTGTGTGCTTCGATTGTCGTGACTGACAGTCCGATCACTGCATGTTTATTTCGGTAGTGCGTGCGGAGAGCGTGCGCGTTAGTGCAGATTTCCTCGCATTCCGGGCACTCTAGTCGTGCCACTCGGCTGGCAGGCTTGGTCCATACTCTGCGCGTTTGGCGAAGTCTGAGAAGGCTGTTGTCCGGTAGCGGTTGGCCGGGTCGCCATCTATTGAGCCGGGCTTTTGCCGTTTTATTGAGCCAAAGTTTGGGGAATGCTTTTACTATGAGCGCGTCCCATTTGGTGGGGTCCTGGTTCTGCGCTAGTTTGAACCAGTGTAGCTTGTGGATATCGGCGGCCTTGAGGGCGGAACTAACCCATTGAACTTGCGTGGTTGCGTGGTTATTGCGAAGTTTTCCTTCCATCCAGAAACCCCACAGTGCCTGTTTTGGCAGTCGATGAGTGGGCATCCTGGCGACGTGGCCTACCCAACGAAGGGTTGCGGCACAAAGAACGCTTCGGATTGTGGGCCATTAATTGGGCGGCCCGGTGTAACTGTTCCGTGGTGATGCGATGGTCGCGGACGTTTAACTTATCCAGCCCGAAGCATCTTTGTAGCGCGTAGGTTTGGACCGACTGTAGAGCCGCGATTTGGCCGTTCGTCCAGGCGCGAGAACGGCCCAGAGCCACTAAGGTAAGGCTTGACACCGGCAGCCTAAGGCATGTCCCCGGCATGAGGATGATCATGCCCATGATCATCCCCCCCCACCCCCCCAGGCCCGATTGATCATCATTTCCAGGCCCGATTATAGGTATAGATCATAGATGATACTAATTTACTAATATAGTTATATTCAATACAGTAGTTTACTTCGTCTTGAACAGCCTCGCAGACTTCAGGCTCGAGGGTAGGGTCCGACTATACAACTCCTAATTAAACCTCAAACTTCCCACCGAATCCCCCTTTAAACTTTCAACAAAGCCTTGAACCCTCCTAACCCTAAAGCCCTAAAGTCGCTGGCGCTGGCCGTGGCCGCGGTCGCGTCGAGGCCGTGGTTTAGGTTTAGCTCAGGTTAGGGCTAGGGTTTAGCTCGGGCAGGGTTTTGGGACTTGGGGTGGTTTAGGTTAGGTTAGGGCCAGGGTTTAGCTCGGGCAGGGTTTTGGGACTTTGGGTGGTTTAGGCTAGGTTAGGGTTTAGCTCGGGCAGGGTTTTGGGACTTTGGGTGGTTTAGGTTAGGTTAGGGTTTAGCTTGGGCAGGGTTTGGGACTTTGGGTGGTTTAGGTTAGGTTACGGTTAACGGTTAGGGTTTAGCTTGGGCAGGGTTTCGGGACTTTGTGTGGTTTAGGTTGGGTTAGGGTTTAGCTTGGGCAGGGTTTCGGGACTTTGGGATTAGGGTTTAGCTTGGGCAGGGTTTCGGGACTTTGCGGGTTTGTTTTCGGTGGGGCAGGGTTTTGGGTTTTGGGGATTTGGGGATTTTGGTGGGGTTCTCAGCCTCGTCATGCAAATGTCACGACCTTCGGGTCGTGGCTGCCGCAGTCTTCGGACTGGGGCGTCACAGCCTTCGGGCTGTGGCTGTCACAGCCTTCGGGCTGTGGCTGTCACGACCCTCGGGTCGTGGCTACCGCAGTCTTTGGACTGCGGTGTCACAGCCTTCGGGCTGTGGCTGTCACAGCCTTTGGGCTGTGGCTACCGCAGTCTTCGGACTGCGGCGTCACAGCCCTGGGCTGTGGCTGTCACAGCCTTCGGGCTGTGGCTGTCACGACCTTCGGGTCGTGGCTACTGCAGTCTTCGGACTGCGGCGTCACAGCCCTCGGGCTGTGGCTGTCACAGCCTTTGGGCTGTGGCTGTCACGACCTTCGGGTCGTGGCTACCGCAGTCTTCGGACTGCGGTGTCACAGCCCTC